TCAAACACTGTTATTCGGCAGTCTTAACTTTCACAAGGGAAAATTCGTGAACCAGTTGGGGCAATGGCAGATTTATCAATCTATTCGGCTAGAATGTCGCAGCCGCTTCACAAATCGACTCATCAATATTGTCTGATTCGGCGTTTAATGTTCATGAACCAGCCGGGGCAAGGGCAGATTCATCAATCTATTCGGCTAGAAGGCCGCAGCCGCTTCATGAATCGACTCATCAATATTATCTGATTCGGCATTTAATGTTCATGAACTAGCCGGGGCAAGGGTAGATTCATCAATCTATTCGGCTAGAATGTTGCAGAATCTATTCAGCTTGAGTACGGCAGCCGCTTCACGAATCGATTTACTAGTCCTATTCGGCACCAAGAGTCGATTTACTTGTTCGGATAAATTAAAGTTTAACTAATATAATTGCCAAGATTACACTGCTATTCAATCGATAGTTAGAAAGCACAACGGACAGTAATCATTTTATCCAAAGTAGTGGAAGGCAAAACTCTTCATTAATATCAAAAACTGCATACAAGTAATAGTGAAACGGGAAGAAAATTTTCATTAATAAATTGAGCGTAGATAGTAACTAATTTATACATGAAAATTACCATGAACTAACAAGAATCACTAAACAAAAACGTACATTGAAATTGAAGATACCTAATAAATCTAGAATGTCTCCCAGATCAATCCTCGGGATCAGACTCAAGTAGCTCAACGTCCACTTGCTCGTATGGAATTGGCAAGGCCAATGTAACTCCAACGGCAGCAAGGGCTTTGAGCCACCCATGTTTGAATCCCCGATTCTCGAATTTGGGGACCTCATCTACGTATTCCTTCAAGGCGGCGCTCTTCCCAGCCTCTAGCGCCGTAGAAGCTTCAGATTCGGCTTTTTCCTTGGCCGTCTTCAATTCTTCTAACTCGGCAGCTGCCTTGGAAAGTGCCTCATGGGCTAACTTGAGCGACTCCTCGCTCGCGTTCGCCTTATCCTCGGCTTTAGATCTGAGCTGGTCAGTAGTCCGAGCCCTCTCATTTTCAGTTTCAGCTCGAGCACTTTCCATTGTGGCTCTCATCGCCTCGAACTCGGCCCTGCTTCTTTCACCTTTAGCTTCAAACTTTAAACGGCCAATTCTTTCAATGGCATCACGCTGCCGGCGGCCTAGTTCGGATATCCTTCCAACCGTCTGCAAAACAAGTTTGGATCACCACACCAAGCAATATCGTATGCAAACCAAACTAAACAAGCAAAAAAGAAAGTATCGTATACATACCAAAAGGGCCGACTGGGCAGCGAATGTTATAGCTGCCAAATCCGACTCTTCTCGAAAGGTGGCCTTATCAGCTGGTAGCGAAACTGAGGCGGCCAAGCTCAACCCCGCGGCTGGATCCTTCATGGCAGATGCGTTAGAGGAGATTGGCGTGTCTTCGATCTTTGGTTGAACAACGAAAGGGACAACCATGTCGGACTCCTCTAAGTGAGGCCATTTGTCAGCAGGGCTATCCTCTGAGCCGGCCTCTCCCTTGGCAGAACGTTTTTCGCCCCACTCTTTTGAAACCAGCCGTTCTTCCGTAACCTGCTGTTCAGCCCCCTCAATCTCGGCTACAACAACTTGAGCCGTTTCTTCTCCAGTAACAGATTATAAAGATTTAACCGGAGCAGGCTCAAAATGAACGGCCTCAGCTTTCTTTCGGGCGGCCATTCGCTCGGCATTTCTCTTTCTCGCCATCTGCGTGAGATTTTCCCCAGCCATGCCTTCAGAAAAAGCACCGGGTAGATTTCCCAAGTTTGTAAAAATATCTCCGAAGGAAAACTCCGCCCGACCTGAAGTGGATGGAGAGTTAGGCTGGTTAAGACCGGCTGCCGCAAACGTTGATTTCAGAGCTTCGTTGACCTTTTTGGCCTCCGCAGCGAACACCTTTGTTGATTCGGCAACTACTTCGACCACCGGCTCTAAGTCTTGCTCCGAATCAGAAGCTTCGAGATCAATTTGCCTGAGGGTCTTGAAGCTGGAAAAGACAAGAGTCGTAAGGTGTAGTTCGCCGGTTGGGATCGGAATGTCGTCCGCGGCCAAGAATGTGGTATAGGTAGGCTCGTACTGCAGGAGAATATGGGCGGCTCTCCCTTGCTTATGTACGTTTGAACGGCCAAAGTACTTTAGTGCAGTCTTAATTTCCGCAAGAACTTCGTCGTCAGCCGAGGTCAGAATCCTCTTCAACTTATTGCCTGTAAAAACAAAGGATTAGACTTCGAGAAAAAGCTGAATAAAAGAAAGATCAACAAACAAGGAGTTATACGGTAACCTGGTTCACCCCTCTATTTGGGAATAGGGTCTAGGCGATCTTCGCCTTCGTCGAATTCCCAGTTGCTTGGACATTGACCATTACATCATCAACTCGTTTGCCAGAGCTGGCAAGCATCGTTACCAAGTGATGGTCGATGTCCTTAGCCCTGAGAAAATAGCGCCTGAGCCGACCGGAGGATTTGGCTAAAGCGTAGCAGTGCCGAATCGCCGGAATGCCAAGGTTGATCCCGAGATGCCGGTTCAACTCTACGATTCCCATTACAATTCAAAAAAAATTCACATTGGGTTGCGAAAGAATCAAACCCCAATAGCAGAGGACGGCCCTAAGAAATGGGTGTAGGGGAAAGCGAACTCCGCCCTCCGCAATGGATAGGAGAGGAAAGACGATTGTATTTTGGTGGTCGTCCCTCTCCATATCAAGCGTATTGTCCATTACTAGAGATAGATGGACATCATCGGGGATAGAGAATGTCTTCGAAACCCAGAAATTCGACCCTCAAAAAGGAAGTCTTTCAAATGCTTAGCCATTCTGGTAAGGACCCAAGGATATTCTAAATCAAAGATAAATACGGAAAGTAGGGTTGCAAAGAGAAGAGAAGAAAACTTACGAAAGGCAAAGGAGAAGACGGAGAGGAGTCGCAGAAAACGCGTTGGAGGAAAGACACCGATTGGCAATCCAGGAGGTTCAAATATTCGAAAAAGCATGCATTCGAAGGGACTAAAGTTTCAAATTGTAATAAATGCGAGAGAAGCACGAATGAGGCGGGAAAGCGTTGTAGTGACCAAAAAGCATGTACGCGTTCTGACGCGCATCGGGAAGAGGGTTAACCGCCGAATTTTTGACTGCCCAGACTAGAAGCCAAACACGCCGACTAACTGATGCTAGTGGGGTGTTTGGGGGGCAATTGTGGGAGCCGGATAATTGGAAGAGTCAGAAGCGTACTCTGGAAGACAGATATTACTCGGCTCTATCCTGCACGATCAGAATGCTGAATATTACAAATAGGTCGAATAGATATTGAACTATGGAGCCGAGTAAATAAGAGGATAATGAGTGAAAAGTGGGCCTGGCCCCGAGGCCCAAGAAACAAGTATAAATAAAGGAGCAACAGAATAAGAAAGGTATGTGAGAATTGTTGTGCTTAACTTAGAATACAAGCATTCTTGAGTGTGGAGACTGACTTGTCCGTCGAAGTGCTAATTTCGGCACCCCCGACCGGAGTGTTTATTCCTTTTCAGGTGACTATCAGCGGGATCACAAGCTCCCCCCAGGATCAGAAGAGTATTTCCAAACCACTTCTCCACATGTTGTAAATGTAAATCATGTTTATGGGTGTTTTGTTTTAAAGTAAATTTCACCATTAAGGTATATCATTGTGTTTGAAAATTCTACATAAAATTTATGTTTCTATACCATCACTCAATAAGAATATATTAAGGTAGAATTTAATGATGGAAAGTTATAAAATGTAATCATGATGATAGAAAGAAGAAATGGTAGGAAAAATGACAAGATGGTCATTTAGAAAATTTTAAAATATGACATTAGCAATTTATGGGACGGTTTGTAATGATATTATAAACCTCAGGGAAGGAAATGTAATTTTTCAAATGTGAGGAAGAATCTGTATTAAACAGAAACTTTAGGAAGTATCAATGTAATTTACCCTTGATTTTTGCAAACGAGGCTAATACAATAATTTTATTTATTATTTAATAGTGTTAAATGACGAGGAATGCCAATGATATTTCAAAAAATTAAGGGGATGACAGTGTGATTTCAAATAAATCCAAGAGGTGTCAGTGTAATTTATCATATTATTAAAGACATCGATGATAAAATAGAATTAAAATTTTGAACAATGTTTTTCTCATAAATATGATCAAGAATGCTCATTCACCATCTTCTCTTTTTGCAAGCTAATATTTGATTTTCTCATAAATATGATCAAGAATGCTCATTCACCATCTTCTCTTTTTGCAAGCTAATATTTGACGTGTGTGTTGTAGATTTTATAAGTTGATTATACTTTATTTTAATTTGAGAGTTTGTGACAGACTGTTTCATTTAGTTTCTGTTTATAGTTTATTTGACAAAATTAGCCTAAATAAACTAAAAAAAAAAAAACAGATTATTTAAAAACTGGAAAGTAAACACTTTTAACTTTTACTTTTTGATTATTAAAAAAAACTATATCAAATAAGGCCATTGTAGTTGACTCTTTTATCACTTTTTGCATGTCTTTTTATAAAAAATTAAAAAATAACTATAATAGTTAACTTCTAAACTAATATGTATGAGAAATTAATTTCTTGTGTTATATTTTATTCAAAATTTTTAATTTCATATTTCCACACATACGTTTCATAGATATTGGTGAGTGTCTACTTAACTTTTTTCTATAAACCTAGAAAGGGTGATCATTTAGATGAGAAACAAAAAAAAAAAAAAAAAAAAACCGTGAGGGTGAGTTTGTATAATTTGAAAGTAATTATTAATCAATATTACTATAATAAATAGGTGTTTTGAAATCATAAAGAGGGCGCCACTTACGTAGTCCTTTTTAAGTCCATCCTTGCATACAGTATGTTCTTGTAACAAATCGTTTTGTTAAAAGAAATGATTTTAATTAGGTGTTTTTTTTAATAAAAAAAAATAATTTTGGACAATCTACATGATTGTTGCAGGTATGAAAGGGGATCATATGTTCCGAAGCGTTAAAGGAAGGAAGGTCGGAAGTCCACCTCATGGCCGCAACCCACCAGCCTATATCCCGGGGCCGCCAGGATTGTGATCTTCTATATTATGCGGTTGTCAACGGATATGAAAATTTATCTCAATAAATGTAATGACTTTTTCATAATTTAAAATAACAATAAATTTGTAATTTTATTTTATAGTTATTGAATATGGGGTAGTGTTTGGGTGTGTAATCCCCTTAAGGGTTGCACACTATATGCAACCTTTTTAGGAGTTTCTTTACGGAAAACTTATATTAATTTACGTGTTTTTGTTAGATTATTTATACGAGTTTGTGAAAATTTACATAATTTTATATTTTTTTAAATCTTTGTGAGATAACTTATGTGAATTTGTGTTAGTTATGCATTTTTGTGAGACGATTTATGTGAGTTCATGAAAACTTACGTAATTTTGTAATTTTAAAAAAAACTTATGGGATAATTTACGCGAATTTGTGCTAAATTACTTGTTTTTGTAAAATCACTTATTTGAATTCGTGAAAACTTAGATGATTTTGTGATTAAAGTTTTTATGAGTTCATTTATGCGAAATTGGATTAATTTATGCATTTTTGTGAAATAAACTGTGTGAGTTTTTAAATTAATTTTTAAAAAAATTAATAAAAAAACATATAGGCCCTATTTGGTAGAGCTATAGAAAAGTGATTGTAAATTATACCTAAATAGATTTTAGTGAACATAAGCTGTTAACCTATTTGGTGCAACTGTGGAATTATAGATTTAAACAGCAGAGTAGTGTTTGGTTGATAAGCTGTAAAATAACTTTTTGTTGTGTAATTATCATTTTTGCCCTTGTACGATATAAAAATGATTATTTTGACATTTTTTCAGTTTTAATTTTAAAAAAGTTATTTCATTAATAAAAGTTAATATAATTAGTAATACAAAAATTATTATTTTCATTAATAGTGTCAATTAGTATAAAATTATTTTATTTTTTCATTATAAATTAATGGGAGCTTTTTTGATAAATCCACTTTCTAAGAGCTTTATTCTATCCAACCCATATTCTTTTTGACTATTCCATTAGGTCCTATTTGAGATAAGAAGACCAAAATACCTTTTTCATCTACTTATGTTCCATTTAGTTCACATTATTTTCTTATGTTTCAATAAGTCCTATGGGTGACATTACCAAAATACCCCTAATGTGAATGTTCACACCGTCAATGTGAATGTTCATCTCGTCAATGTATAGGGGCCCGGCCCATGTCGATCCTCGTGGGTGCCCGAAAAAATTCGAGTCGGGCTGGGGTGGGCCCGACCCATTGACAATGTGAATATTCACATTGACATGTTAACATTCACATTAATAGGAGTGTAAAATTGGCCCGCGTCTCATGGCGGCGCGAAACCCGCCCGCGGCCCATGGGCGGCCCAGGGCGGGCCCGTTGACAATGTGAATATTCACATTGATATGTTAACATTCACATTGATAAGAGTATAAAATTGGCCCGCAGCCCATGGGCAGCCAAAAGCCTGCCCACGGCCCCGGGCGGGCCCAACCCGGCCCGTTGACAATGTGAATATTCACATTGACATGTTAACATTCACATTGATAGGAGTGTAAAATTAGCCCGCGCCCGTGGCTGCCCGAAACCCGCCTATGGCCCATGGGCGGCCTGGGGCGGGCCCGACTCGGTTATTGACAATGTGAATATTCACATTGACATGTTAACATTCACATTGATAAGAGTATAAAATTGGCCAGCGGCCCAGGGCTAGCCCGGCCCGGCCCGTTGACAATGTGAATATTCACATTGACATATTAACATTCACATTGATAGGAGTGTAAAATTAGCCCTTGCCTCATAGCTGCCCGAAACCCGCCCACGGCCCGTGGGCGGCCAGGGGCGGGCCTGGCCATTTTTTTTTAATTTTTTTTAATTTTTTCTACCAAAATTTTATTATTTTCCACAAAAAAAGACACTAGGCCTCGGCGCAGGCCGGGCCTCGAATCGAGCTTTGAATGGGCCTTAACCAGTCTGATGGGCGGGGCCGGGTTTCAAAGTGATGACCTAGGCCCTAGCCTAGGGTCTCGGACTAGGCTCGAGCCTGGGCCCAAACAAGCCTTTCCCGGGCCGGCTCACAGGCCAAAAAATTAGGCACAGGCCCTAGCCTTGGCACAAGGGTATTCGGGGTTTGGCCGGGCCGATGGATCGAGCCTCGGTCGGGGCACTGGGCTTGGGCCTAGCCTCGAGCTTAGGTCGGGCTTGGGCGGGTCTGGCCATTTTTTTTTAATTCTTTTTAATTTTTTCTACCAAAATTTTATTATTTTCCACAAAAAAATACATTACGCCTTAAGCGGGCTGGGTCTCGGACCGAGCCTTGAATGGGCCTTAAGCGGGCTGATGGGCCGGCCCGGGCTTCAAAGTGATGACCTAGGCCCTAACCTAGGGTCTTGGACATGCTTGGGCCCGGACCGAAACGAGCCTGCCTCGGGCCGTGGGCGGGTTTCGGGCAGCCCACGGGCCACCGACCAATTCTACATTCCTATCAATGTACATTTTAACATGTCAATGGGCCAGGTCGGGCCTACCCCAGGCCGCAAGAAAGTTTCGGGCAGCGGGCAAATTTTGCACTCCTATCAATGTTAATGTTAACATGTCAATGTGAATATTCACATTGTCACGGGTCGGGCCAAGCCCGCCTCGGGCTGCGGTCAGGTTTCGGGCCGCCCACGGGCTACGGGCCAATTATACACTCTTATCTATGTGAATATTAACATGTCAATGTGAATATTCACATTGTCAACGGGCCGGGTCAGGCTCGCCCTGGGCCGCTGGCCAATTTTATACTCTTATCAATGTGAATATTAACATGTCAATGTGAATATTCACATTGTCAACAGGCCGGGCCGGGCCCGCCCCAGGCCGCCCATGGGCCGTGGGCGGGTTTCGGGCAGCCACAAGGCGCGGGCTAATTTTACACTCCTATCAATGTGAATATTAATATCTCAATGTGAATATTCATATTGTCAACGGGTCGGGCCGGGCCCGCCCCAGGCCGCGGGCGGGCTTTTGGCCGCCCATGGGCCGCGGGCCAATTTTATACTCTTATCAATGTGAATATTAACATGTCAATGTGAATATTCACATTATCAACGGGTCGGGCCGGGCCGCCTCGGGCCGCGGGGGGGTTTTTGGGCGCCCATGGGCTGCGGGCCAATTTTATACTCTTATCAATGTGAATATTAACATGTCAATGTGAATATTCACATTATCAACGGGTCGGGCCGGGCCGCCTCGGGCCGCGGGGGGGTTTTTGGGCGCCCATGGGCTGCGGGCCAATTTTATACTCTTATCAATGTGAATATTAACATGTCAATGTGAATATTCACATTATCAACGGGTCGGGCCGGGCCGCCTCGGGCCGCGGGGGGGTTTTTGGGCGCCCATGGGCTGCGGCATAAGTGTCCAAGAAAATAGTGTAAATCAAGAAAAAGGACTTTATGGAATAAAACTATACATACATGGGACTAAATGAGTTAAAAAACTCCTTCTTGGGTTAAAACACTTCTAAATGAGATTTATCAATAAAAATTCCTAAATTAATTAGTGTCAATTTATGGCTTAATTAGCATCATTACTTTTTTTTATTTAATTTATTAATTCATTACAATTAATATCAATTAATATCCATGTATTTATATTAATGTTGTGATGCCATTACATATTATTTTTCTTTATATTAATTTCAATTAGTTATTTAATAGAAATTATAATATTTTTTAAAAAAAATCGTGATTCTGTTTTTATTAATTTTTTTTCATTTCAATTAATAATATAACAATTGTTAATTTTTTAATTAATTTTTTTTCATAACAATTAATAATATAACAATTTTGCAATTTATTTCTTTATTTAAATTGTGAAATTTATATCAATAATTGTGAAATAAATTGTGTAATTTATTTAATGGATAAAAATTGCGCAATTTATTTCAATATTAATTGAAATATTTTTTAAAAAAATTAAATGGAAGTTAATTGAAATAAATTGTTTTTTTTTCTTTTTTTTTAAATTTTTTTTCATTACAATTTTGCAAAACCCTAGATCTGATTTTGCTGGAGCCAAAATCGGAGACGCCGCCAGTGGTCTGCAAGAAACCCTCTCTCAGCTCATCCATCTCCTCCACCACCACGCAAAACAAGCATCTCAACATCCACTCATACAAGTTAGAAATTGGAAAAAAAGAAAAAACAATATTCCATTAAAACCCACAAAAATTTACATTTTGAAATCACACCCAGAAAAACAATAATCTGAAAATACAAACATATAGATATAGATACACATGATTGGAGGTAGAGGAAACTACGAACTCGATTAAATGGTATCCTCTGAAGCAACTTTCTCCTTATTGCCCCTCTATGAATCCTGTGAACTTGGCTCCTACGTGTGTGTATGTGTATATATATAACACATACAATCCTCGTATCAAAAATCTACTGGTGATGTTCTTGTTCTTGTTATGTATAAGTATTCTTAATAGTTAGGGATTTGGGTCCCTGGGATCTCTGAATTTGCTTAATCGCTCCTTGGTGACGGGAGGCGGCGACGGAGTAGATCGTGCCCTAGCCACCGCCTCTAGTGAGAGAGAGAGAGAGAGAGAGAGAGAGAGAGAGAGAGCTTTGGAAATCGCCTTCTTGCCGGAAATTGCCTCCTCGCCGGATATCTCCCGCTGGAAATCGCCTCTTCGCTAGAAATTGCCTCTTTTCTCTCTCTCTCAAGCGAATAGTGTTTGAGAATATGGGGTTTATATAGTTGGGTTTTTGGTAATAGTTGAGATTGACTAGGGGCATTTAAGTAATTTTGTCCCTCAATTTTTAGCTACCCACTTAAGTTCAATCCAGAAGCACCCCGAAGGTCACTCAGCCAAAATCACTTTTTGGCTTAATTTAAGCTACAAAAAGTGATTTTAAATTTTACCAAACACACCAAAATAGCTTAAAATAATCTAAAAGCTGAAATAAGTAGCTTTTAAGTTCTACTAAATAGGCACGTAGGTTGCACACCATATGCAATGCACACCCAAAATAAATCCATTGTAATAAAAATCTTCAGTACAATTGCATAATAGGGAAGATCAAAGCCTCCCTTGTCACTACTCGATTTGTAGTAAGGGTGGATATCAGCTCGTTAGTTCACCCAACTCATCTAATTTGGTTTTATTTTTTTAGGGTTTAAGGATGTTGTTTTAGTCCATAGAGTTGAGTTGGACTAACATTTTCAGCCCAATATATTAATGGGCTAGACTGGACTTAGGATTTATACTTTTAACCTAGCTTGGCCCTCTATTAAAT